CGACGGCGCTGGGGGCGTCGCAGCGCTGCCCGCCGGGGCCCGCCCTGCCGACGGCGCAGCGCTGGGTGGCGCGGCCGACCCGGACGGCGCCGGCGGGGCGGCCGTGGCCCCTGGGGCCGCGGCCGCGGAGGCGGGGCTCGTGGCGGAGCCGGCCGCTGGTGCTGGCGCAGCCAGCCCTGATGACGCCCGCCCCGAGGTGGCGGTCGCGGCCGGGGCCGGCGCTGGAATGCCCGCTGGGGACCACGGGGCGCGCGTGCGAGCCTTCCGCCTCGTTTACGGGCGCGGACCGTGACTGCCCCCTCCTCTGCCCGCGCGCGCGCGCCTAAACAAGAAAAATGCGCGCGCGCGTGTGTGTGTGTGTATGTGGTGGGGGGGGAGAGGGGGGGCGGAAGGGGGGGGAATGGGCCTTTCGCCCTCCTGGGACTCTCACCAGGCCCCACGACCGTCAAAGTTTTTTTTTCATCGAGCGATTCCCACCCAAGAGTGCGAGGCGGAATATCTAGGGAGCACCGGCACGCTTTGGGCTTTGGGCCTGGAGGCCGCGGCATGCACGCGTCATTCGTTGAAGGCACGAGGCAAGACATTCAGGGAGCATTGGGGCCCCTTGGGGCATCGCGGCCGCGGTCTGTAGGGTGTGCGCGGCTGGTCGGGAGTTTTTTCCCCATTGGTCTAACTCCCCATCCTGTCGGGACGGCCCCCAGCAGGCGCGGCTCGTCGAGGCGCGTTCCGAGTGGGCGGGGCGAGTCGCCCAGGTCGGGCGCCGGAGGCCCTGGTCACGACCAGAAAGTTCGAAATTTTGGCGTCGTGGAGACATACCGACCGGGGGCTGGAGGGGGGGACGCGGGGGGGGAAGGGCGGGGGGAGGTCAGTTGTCACGTTCTGGGGGTTGCCACTGGGTCCCATAACGGTCAAAGAATTGCGTACTCAGGAGGAGTGGATTTGGTGATCGACGCAGGCGGGTTCGGTGATCGATGGAGGTGAATTTTGTGATCGGTGAGCGCTTCGTGTAGAGAACAAGGGAAAAAACGAGGGGGAGAATGTGGAAGAGGAGGAGGAGGAGGAGGAGGAGGAGGAGCAGGCCGACCATAGTAAACCCAAGATTCATTAACCGATGCTGTAATCCGTCTGAAGTCCGTCACCCTCTGAATGACGAGCGGCCGGTCGGTCCGACAGTCAGACGAGGGCGCATGTTGTAAAGGATCCTCCCTCCATTTGAAGGACGCCCAGGGTATCTTCACTTTGAGAAGACCAGGGCCTCCGTCCGTCTAGGCGTTGCAGGTTTTCAAAGTCGTGAACGTATGCTCCGCGGGAGTCCCACGCAAGAGCACTTCAAGGAGGCCCAGGGATAGCCTCATCTTGAAAAGAATATGCCTCCATCCGTCTAAGCGCCGCAGGATGCGAAAGTCGTGGACGTATGCTTCAGGGGAGCATCACGCGACAGCCCCGTTTCGAAAGAGGAGCCGCCAGCCATCCGTGGTTAGCTGTTGCGCAATATTGAACGCCGAGTCGTAGAGGTCGAGGAAGTGTCAAGTAAATGTCGGTGGTGGTCTTCGTATTCGAACGCGCGCGAAGCCAAGGGGAAACCCCACTACGTCGTAGGAAAGACTCGCCATCCACTCGCGCAGCTAAGGACACTTGGGAAGACGAGTGTGCATGGCGCCGTTCTTCAAAAAGACCCGCCCTCTGGTGTAAGACCATGGTGTGTAAGACCATGGTGTGCGCCGCCAACAGAGCGAGAACCTCACTGTGAACACCGTGTGTGGTTCACGCGCCAAAGCGAGCTGAATCCATTTGCTCACTGCGGCCTCCTCCGGCGACGGGGATGCTGAAGACGAGAATGTGGACGCTGTTGTTGCTGGTGGCGACGGCGAGCCTGGGAGCGCTTGGTGAGGGATTCTAGCGCCTGGGCACGCCGAGGAGCGTGTTGGAGCGACTGGAAGCATGTGTGGCAGCCTGGTTCAAAATTAGAGTTGGCGAGGGGCGCCCGAAACTGTTCTTTAATCCTTCTGTTTTTGATATCGATGGTTTGTTGGTTTCTGCTTGTGGTCCACAGGGGTTCTTCGGGGCCAGGGGGTGGATCGATGCTGGAGACAGGCAACTACGCGACGAAAGAACAAGGTTTTGACATCGGATGGTGAGGGTTGGGTCGGACGGATGTGCACCGAATTGTCCTTTGTTGCGTCGGGTGGTGAGGGTTACGTCGAATGGACGTGCGCCGAAGCGTTGCTTTACATTGGCTGATGCAGGTCCGATCGCGCGGATATGCACTATTCAAACAATTGCTGCGTGGGTTGGTCAGGGTTGGGTCGGATGGATGTGCACCGGATCGTTCTGCTTCATGAAACTGCAAGGGCTGCGTCCCTGGATGTGAGCCGAAAAGTAATGTTTCACATAAGATAGTGAGGGTTCAGTTGTCTGGGTGTGCGCATTGTTGTATTTGTTGCGTACGATGGTGAAGGATGGGTCGCGTGGAAGGGCACCGGGTAATGTGTTTTGTATGGGATGGTGGGGGTTCGGTCGTATAGATGCGCGCGGCGTTACAGCAGTAACCGCAGTTTGAAAACGGCCCGGCCTCCATCCCTGATACAGTTGCACACATGTATGACCAATGTGAAAGCATGTTGTTCAGTCGAGGGTCAAATGTTGCCAGCGTTCTGGCCTTCGTCCCTGGCACCCCTGCAACTGTTTGAGACGAGCGTGCGCGGCGTTGAGGCGAGAGCCGCATTTCGGAAACAGCCTGGGCTCCATCCTTGACGCTGGGGACCTCGAGCTCCAGGATCCAAATTGGCGGGGGAGTCTCAGGCGAAATGCCCGGCCCGGCCTGCGGACACGTCTCGTGGTGCGACATGGAGGAGTTATCTTCAAGGAGAAGGAAAGGAAAGGAGGAGGAGGAGGAGGAGGAACAGGAGGAGGAGGAGGAGGAGGAGGAGGAGGAGGAGGAGGAGGAGGGGGAGCAGGAGGAGGGGGAGGAGGAGGAGGAGGAGGAGGAGGAGGAGGAGGAGGAGAGGAGGAGGGAGGAGGAGGGGGAGGAGGGGGAGGAGGAGGAGGAGGAGGAGGAGGAGGAGGAGGAGGAGGAGGAGAGGAGGAGGAGGATGTCGGCATGTGGTGGGAGAGCGGCGCCTCGAAGAAGGTGGGTCCTGGATGAAGCACCTCCAGGAGGTATTTCGCCGTTTCCGCCCGTTTCCTCCACCTTCTCCTCCTGATCCTCCTCTTGCTGCGGCTGAGGGCACATCTATCGGACGGACCGGGGCCCTACCCCGAGGCCCACGGAACTCAGACCAGCGGAGGAGTTTCAAGCGTGGGCCGTTTGCGGTCGATCGACAAGGGGGGCCCCCAGGGACGAGGGAAATGACAACGGAGCGGGCACGACACGATCCTCCCCCTCCTCCTCGTCCTCCTCCTCGTCCTCCTCCTCGTCCTACTCCTCATCATCCCTTGTCCTGATCCTGCTGATCCTCCTCCTGTTTTTCCTTTTTTTCCTCCATCACCCCATTCTTCAGCGTAAAGGAATGGGTCCTAGATGCAGATATTTTACGTGTTGTGTGTTTCTGCGGTTTCTTGTCGCCCCGGCTGGACGCGGCTCGAAAATTGGCCAGGATGGAACCCGGGAGGGGTCCATGGATCGATTTTGGAATAAGCCCAGACCCGAGGAGGAGAAGGAATAGGAGAAAGAGCTGGTAATGGAGCGGGAGGATGAGGAGGAGGGACGGGGAAAAGGGGGGGTTGACACGGCTGCGTTGGCGATTGCCAGCGGAAATGAGCATTTGTTCCCAATCATCCTGTGGTGTTGGGTCCTCGTTTTGAGGAAACAGTGCCCCGCGTCACCTCCTCACTCCTCCCCTTCCTCCTCCTCCTCCTCCGCGAGGTACTGGTGATGTGCCAGGAATGCTGTCGGGAGGACTTGAGTTGTTCCCAACCATCCTGTAGTGTTGGGTCCTCGTTTTGAAGGGGCAGCGCCCCGTGTCACCCCCTTCTCTCCTCTCCTCCTCTTCCCCCTCCTCCCTCTCCCCATCCCTGGCCTCTGCTCTCCGCATGCCCATCCCATTTTGGCACACCCTTCACGTGGATCGTGGCCCCACAGGGAGCTTCTCCGAAGGCCCCAGCGGTCCGCATGCGGGGACCGCCACCCATTTTGGCACACCCCTCACGAGGATCGTGGCCCCACAGGGAGCTCCACCGAAGGCCCCAGCGGCAGGGTCCGCATGCGGGGGCCGCCACTCATTTTGGCACACCCCTCACGAGGATCGTGGTCCCACTAGAAGCTCCACCGAAGGCCCCAGCGGCAGGGTCCGCATGCGGGGGCCGCCACCCATTTTGGCACATCCCTGACGAGGATCGAGGCCCCACAGGGAGCTTCTCCGGAGGCTCAAGAGGCAGGGTCCGCAGGCGGGGACCGCCACCCATTTTGGCACACCCCTCACGAGGATCGTGGCCCCACAGGGAGCTCCACCGAAGGCCCCAGCGGCAGGGTCCGTATGCGGGGACCGCCACCCATTTCGGCGCACCTTTCGCACGATTCGTGGCCCCACAGGGAGCTCCACCGAAGGCCCCAGTGGCACAAACCGCATGCGCCCGGCGCCCATTTTGGCACACCCCTCACGAGGATCGTGGCCCCATATGGAGCTCCACCGAAAGCGGTATCCACATTGCGGTTTTCACAATTGCGCATGGTTGGGTCTTTCGCCAAGATAATTTTCCAAGGGATGCGCACTTCTTTGGATTCGGGTTTTCAGTGGGCGGGCCATGTGGGCGATGACCGAAGCAGCGGCCGTCGCTTGGGGATCTCGTGGTCGGCGTTCTGATGGAGCGTACCGATCTAGACCAAATCTGGGGACCCCAAGCCCTCGCGTTCCCAGCCTTCGCCTTCACCGAACGCCGCCAACGTCCAAGGTTTACTCCCGCGCGTGGGTGTTTTTCCTTGGCCGCCTGCAGGAAGATGAAGAAGGACTTCGCGGGAAGGTGGTGCAGCGGGACCCACCGGGGCTGCGAATACCACTGGGCGAGGAGTTCGCGACCTTTCCCAGACCTTGCGACCGACGGCGACGTCGACGACGACGACGACGACCTCGACGACGGCCACGCATATTTCGACGACGGCGACGCCGACGACGACGACGGCGACGCCGCTGTGAGGATGTCGAGGATTTCCCAGCGCCGAGAAGGGCGGCAAAGCTATATGACGCACATAGCCCTCCGCCCCAGGATAGCGACGCACCCGCTCTGGGGGTCCGAGGAAGTCGCTGGAATTTGCCCCGACGACCACCAGGTCCGCTGGGCCGAAATCTCCGCGGCGATCCAATATACATACACGTGCACATACATACATACATACATACATACATACATACATACATACATACATACATACATACATACATACACACATACATACATACATACATACATACATAGATACAGACAGACAGACAGACAGACAGACAGACAGACAGACATACAGACATACATACACAGATACATGCTTACATACATACATACATACACATACATACATACATACATACCTACCTACCTACCTACCTACCTACCTACCTACATACATACATACATACATACATACATGCATACATACATACATACATACAGGCATGCATACATGCATACATACATACACACATATGCAGACACACCACATACATACATACAACCATACCTACCTACCTACCTACATACATACATACATACAAACGGGAAGGCGTACACACATACATAAGCGCATACGTACGTGCATGCGTGCGTACGTACTTGCATGCATACATGCATCCAGACATACATGCATGCATGCATACACACACACACACGTACACGTTTACATACTACAGATATACATGCATGCGAAGATGCACACATGCATGCATACATGCATGCACACATGCATGCATGCATATCTATAGGCGTACAGACATACATACACACAAACACGTATCCATACAAACATACATACATAAACACATGAGGGGCGAGCGGCCATTCATTGTCCCTGGGTGCGTGGCTGAAGTGGGAATCCGTGGTGAGGATTATGTTTGTTGAGTGGTTGTTGCTGTTGTTGTTGTTGTTGTTGCTGTTGTTGTTGTTGTTGCTGTTGTTGTTGTTCTTGTTAATGTTGTGTGTGTGTGTGTGTTGTCGTCGTCCCCCCCGCGACCCACCCGCGACCCACCCCGCGACCCACCCCGCGACCCACCCCGCGACCCACCCCGCGACCCACCCACGACCCAACCCGCGACCGACCCAAAAAGCGACCCACCCGCGACCCAACCGCGACCCACCCCGCGACCCACCCGCGACGCACCCCGCGACCCATCCGCGACCCACCCGCGACCTTCCCGCGACCCACTTGCGATCCACCCCGCGACCCATCCCGCGACCCACCCGCGACCCACCCGCGACCGATCCACATTGGATTGAAGAACAAATCGGCGCCTGCGGCGGGCTCGTTGCATGATTTGTGAAACCTTGGCGCCTGCGGCGGGCTTCTCCAGAATCTCGCAGACTGCCGATGTCCCCAGCGCCCCCTCACTCTTATCCGCATGTACGGGGTGCTGCGTATACATACATACATACATACATACATACATACATACATACATACATACATACATACATACATACATGCATGCATGCATGCATACATACATACATACATACATACGAAAGAGTGTGCTCTGCCGCTGCTGGTACAAAACAGGAGGGACCACTGGGGGGTTCAAACCCGTCCCCCCCTTCTTCGAAAACCGGGGGGGGTCACAGGGGGTTCCAACCCCCCCCCCTCCGGGTCCATCATGAAAACGGGGGGAGGGTCACTACAGGTTCGAACCCCCCCCCCCCCCCCGCCGCCAGCAAACGACTCCTCCTCCTCCCCCACTCCCGACGGGGGACTGGTGGGGACAGTGGTTGGGACGGTGGTGGGGATGGTGGCGGGGACAATGGGGACAGTGGGGACAGTGGTGGGAACAGTGGGGACAGTGGTGGGGACAGTGAGGACACGGCGACAGTGGTGGAGGTACTGGTGGGGACAGCCGGGATAGTGGTGGGAACAGTGGTGGTGGGGACAGTGGCGAGGGGAGAGTGGGACAGTGGTAGGGACAGTGGTGACAGTGGGACAGTGGTGGGGACGGTGGTGGTGGGGATGGCGGTGAGGGCAGTGGTGAGGACGGTGGTGGGACAATGGGACAGTTGTACAGTGGGGACAGGGGTGGGGACACTGGGGACAGTGGGACAGTGGCGGGGACAGTTGTGCGGACAGCGGGACAGTGCGACAGTGGTGGGGGCACTGGTGGGGACAGTGGGGACAGTGGTGGGAACAGTGGGGACAGTTGGACAGTGGTGGGGGCAGTGGGGACAGTGGGACAGTGGTGGGGACGGTGGTGGTGGGAACAGTGGCAAGGGGACTGGGACAGTGGCGGGGCCAGTGGGGACAGTGGGGACATTGGGACAGTGGTGGGGACGGTGGTGGTGGGGACAGTGGTGAGGGCGGTGGTTAGGACGGTGGTGGGACAACGGGAGAGTGGTACAGCGGGAACACTGGCGGGGACAGTGGGGACAGTGGGACAGGGGTGGGGACAGTGAGGACAGTGGAACAGCACAGTGGGACAGCGGTGGGGACAGTGGGGACAGTGGGACAGTGGTGGGGACAGCTGGGACAGTGGGACAGTGGTGGGGACAGTGGGGACAATGTGGAGAGTGGGCCCCTGGTGGGGAGAGTGGTGGGAACAGTGGGGACAGTGGGACAGTGGTGGGGACAGTGGGGACAGTGAGACAATGGTGGGGACGGTGGTGGTGGGGACAGTGATGAGGGCGGTGGTGAGGACGGTGGTGTGGACCTGGGATTTGTTTGCCGGCGGCGAGTGGGGGGAGGATTTTCGGACCGGTCGTGACCCCACCCCCGGCTTTCCGGGGTGGGTGGGGTGGGCTTGACCGGGGGAGGGAGGGGGGGTTAGAGCAGAGAGGGGTGAAATTCGGAGGGGGGGGGGACCCCAGGTTCCTAAGAAGAGGGGGGAATTTTCCACAGCCAAGCGGCGGTGGATCACGCTCTCTCCCACATACATACATACACACATACACACATACAAACATACCTACAGCCATCCATGCATACCGACACATCCTGCCGATATGCCTACCTACAGACATGCATTCTTACAGTCATACGTGCATATATGCGTACATACTGACACATTCATACACACACATACACACATACACACATACATTCATACACATTCATACATACACATGCATACACATACATACATACAATCATACATACATACATACATACATACATACATACATGCATACATACATACATACATACATACATACATACATGCATACATGCATACATGCATACATGCATACATGCATACATGCATACATGCATACATACATGCATACACGCATACATGCATACATGCATACATGCATACATACATGCATACATGCATGCATACATGCATACATGCATACATGCATGCGTGCGTGATTGCGTGCATGCTTACATGCAACTATAGGTTCGCGTGTATATGTATACGTGGTGATATATACATGTCCTTATACACTCATATATACGCACATCTGTATTTTGCTAAACGCGTGTTTACATGCACGAACGACAAGGTGAGGGTGTCCGACATGTCCGATTTAAGTGTATCACCTGTGAGTGTTCGTGCGACCTCCATCCTCGACCCTCGCTACTGCAGTTGTTTGGGTTCAAACAAGGTGCGCGCCCGCGCGCGCGCCGCGCCTGCCCGCGCGCGTCGCGAGGACGTCATCTTTTCTCTTTCTCCGACCTCCGGCTTCCGGGGTCGCGATCCGCCCGCGGGCGAGGGGCCCCCCTGGCGGGGAGGAGCCCGCGCGGGCGGGGTTCGCGCCTTGAGCCCGCCCAGCGGAGGGGAGCGGCACGCCCACGTGGCAGGGCGATGCCGCCCAGGAGGAGGCCTGCTGCTGTCGCCCGTCGGCCCGCGTCCCTCGGCCCCCGTGCGGTGCGTGGCAAGAAGCACAGCAGGGGCGGGGGCGGCGGCGGCGGGGGCGGAGGGGGCAGAAGCCGCTCCCGCGGCCCGAAGCCCGCCAAGCCTGACGGCGCAGGGGCGAAGGGTCCGCGCGGGGGCGGCGGAGGCGGCGGCTCGCGCAGAGGTGGTCGCGGCGGCGGCTCAGGGCGTGGAGCTGCCTCTGGCCTGCGCCACTCTGCGCTGCGCCGCTCGCGCTCCGCGGGCCGCGGGAGTGGAGGGGCCGCCGCCGACGAGGAGAGCGAGGCAGACTCGCGCCACGGCATGGTTCGCCCTGCAGGTAAGTGCACCGTCGGCGAGAACTGGCCTTCGATGGCGAAGTACGGGCCTCGACAGGGGCAGCCGCCGATAAGCGAGGTCGAGATGAACGGCAGCGCGACCTTCAAGGTGTTGGGCCAGGCCGAGCAGACGGAGCGGCGTCAGCTCGCGGTGGCGTTCGACGACCCCGCGAGGACGCCCGCGCTGCACTTCTGCTCGGAGTCGGTCCGTGCCCAGGACTGCCGCGAGGGCGGGGGCCTGGTGGATGCCCCATCCTGCGCGTGGGGAGACGGCGATATGCCCAGCCGCCCTTCCGCGGGTACCTTGGCGAGGAGCTTGCCCGCGGTGCGGAGGGCCCGGCCGCCCCGGGCGCGCGGCGGGGCCCGCGCGGCGGCAAGGCCAGGGCAGCAGACGACGGCCCCGCGGCGGCGCCTTTGCCCGCTCCAAAGCGAGATCCCCCCAGGGCACGGAGCGGCCGTGGAGCCTCGGCAGCGGACGGCTCCAAGTCGGACTCCCGCCGAAAAGGCCCCGGGGAGGTGCCGCTAGTCGCGTGCGCGAGCGTGGCCTGATCGACCGGTTGGCTGAGCTACGGGAGCGAGCGGCCAGGCATGCGTCGGCGCCCTCAGGAGGCGGCAGGCGCGGCTCGGCCCCTGCGAGCATCCGCCCCAACAGCCCCCCGAAGGGGAAGGACGACCGAGACGACCTGGACGGGGAGATGCCCGCGAAGCGTAGTCAGCCCCCTCGCCGAGAGAAGGGATCACGCCGCTCGGCGATCGCGCCAGCCGAGGTCCGCGCGAGCCTGACCGAGAAGATCCAGGGGAAGGCCTCCGCTAAGAGTAGCAGCTCTCTGCGGGGAGACTCTGGCGGCCGCGGCGGGGGTGATCGCGGGGCCCGCGACCCCCTTCCGCCGAAGGGCCGCCGCAGGAGGCACCGTGAGGTAACTGAGGATGGCGCGCGACGAGGCCTAGCGCCTTGTGGAGAGGGG